CCTGAGCACGCTAATATAAAGATACATGACGAAATTTAATCGACGACGCAGATTGGGAAACTACAACTAAGAAACACGCTGGAATTTGATCAACGATGCGAGTTTGGAAAAAAAGTATAGTGCATGAAAGTCAAGATGCTGAAAGATAGTAAATTTGTTTGATTTGTGCGGGGGAAGGGGCGGCCACTCTAGTAGATGACTAGTGGTATTTATAATGTTTATGTGATAACTATTTCCTGGCGGTTTCCAGCGGTTTCATTCTTCTCGAACGGTTTCCTATCGGTTGCCTCCATGCTCCTCCATTTTCAAAATTCTTGTGCCCATTCTTTCACAATGTCTTGACCTTGTTCTCGAGCAGTTATTCCTTTGAACATGTATGTTAACTACCCCATGATCTTATTTCCAAGTGATTGTTCCTTGTTCTTTCGAAAATCTTGTGCCCACATTCTCACGATCTCATAATCTTTTTCTCAAACAATTGTTCTCTAAAACATTCATGTCAGTTGCTTCACAATCTCAACTGCCCAGAATGGTGGGCTTGAGCTTGCGATCATACGCCGATAGATACTCCTTATATAGATGCTTGTTAGCTGCTCCATCGTTTTAATTGCTTCGTCCTCTGGCGGCCTTGAACTTTGAATTGTATCTTAGCACTTCTTATGTATCCAATGAATTGAACACTATGCTTCGTTCATCAGCACACTTGTTGATAATTATTAATTATCCATCATTGTATATCGTCAATTGATTGGTAGTATCCATCAACATATGTCACCATTGTGCGTCAATATCGATTGCTAATATTGATGTGGTCGTCAACAATGTGTCACGTGCATGACAATATGCATACATTAGTCACGTGTTGGTTACGTGATCACCTATGTTCACGCATTAGTCACGTTCATGTCCATGTCTATAACTTGATCATTTTTTGGTATAAACATATGCCCCATTTTTAATCCTTTTAAAGGGATACCTTTAATGTATGCACTCACTTTTCGCAGGCAGTACTAGGATGCACGTTGTTACTCTGATGCTTCATATTCCGTGTACAATCTCTATAATATCTTGATATGTCACCTTAATCGACCCTGCTTACGAATCATCATCCTTATGGATCATATCTTTTCGAATCGCTGCCTTTTGAATCGTTGAGAAATGTGTTGAAACCGATTGAATATTTTCGGCCGCCTGCGAATCTGAACAGTGTCTTGCCTAACCGAAATAGAGCAAAACAGAGCAGATTGAGGTCGAGGCTATTCAAGACAGATTTGATCATTTTGAGAGGCTTTGTTGTGTGTACGAGCGTCGCCAAGGATAGAGGTGTGAGGACGAAGCATTGCCATCAAGTGGTTTAATGATGAAATACCCAAAATCAAAGAAAAATGCAAAAACAGGGTCTTTTGGGTCCTTCTCACCAAGGGCGATTTTAGGGGAAATCATGGCTTTTATGGATGTCACAAGGCCGCTGGAGGCAGCGAGGGGGTCGTCATCGATTTAATCGAAGGTGGAAGAGGGTTCGGGATCGAAGGTGGAGGAGGGGGCGACAGAGAGCTTCGCGTAGGAGAAGCGAGTGTGGCAGGAGGCGGAGAGAGTGATGAGGGCGTGGGCAGGCGGGAACCACTCGCGGGGCTAGAGGAGGATGTCAGATTCATTAACAGGTTGGAGAGAAAGGGCGAGGCACAACGTGGTTCAGATCAGTGAGAGAAGTGCTATTCAGTCAAGAAAAGTTGCGAAACTTAGTGGAAGAAATGGAGGAGAGAGGGGAAGATGAACGACATCGTTTAGGATTGTGTAAGCAAGTGAAACGACGTTGTTTTGGGTTTTATATGTTGATTCAGACCTCCGATGAGCTATGTCAGCGGAAAAATTTTAAATTATTGTCACGTCGGAGTTCTGGCGAAAACTTTTGGCATTAAAGTGAGCACCATACACAATTTTTAATACTTCCGGTGTCTTTCTTCCCACAAACAGGTTACACATACGGATATGGTTCAACTTGAATCCAACCAATTTGTACTATATCTCTGTTATCTAGTTGCCATAAATTATTTACTCGTCATTTGCGAACAAGATTTTGCTCATGGACAATATGGATGGAATAAAATTGAAATAACTTAGCAAAACTAACATATATTTTCATAGGCATGTGACAAAAAAATGTGAAAAAGCATTCATGAGGAGCATTCCATTTATTAGTGGTGGAGAAGCTGACCGGTTTTTCACAAGGTTGTAAGTTAATGACATAGAAGGCTAGCGAGCTAGCTTTTGTGGGGAAGAGCATTCTTCCACCAAAAGATTTGCAGCGAAGGCTCGCTCTTTCTTGAGTCTTGCATCTGGGGCTCTCACTTTGGGCCGACGCACGATAGACAGTAGTTATGACTTAGAAAGGTCCACAGCAGATAGGAAAACTTACCCAATTAGTTCTAAACATATTGTACGGATATCAATTCAGTGTCAAACTTTTTAATTTTATCAATTTTGTCTAAAATATTTACGCGAAATTCCATTGTAATCCATCCGGTGAATTTTAGCTGGAAACCGCTGACATGATGGTCCAGTCATTACCGGTTGTCCTAAGTGGCGAACTGCCACATTAGCATTTTCCAACGAAAATTGATCGGAAGGATTATATTGAATTTCGCGCAAATGATTATGATTGAATTAGCTAAAATTGGAAAGTTTAGAACTGATTGGACAATTTTCCTCACTTGGTAGGAGATTTTTATGATATCACCTAAGGAGGCTTGCAGTAATAAGTCGCCCCACTCCTTCTTTTCATCAATAAAGCAAATACAACCACTATCTGATTTGAAACTTTTAATAAATGGCTTGCTACACAATGTTTCTCAAGTTAAATTTATGGTACTAACCTTAACATTTTAAAAAAATAACCTAAAAATAAGAATCACGACGACTTTCCGGAACAAAACGCAAGCATATTCGAGCGTTGATAAATTGTTAACAATGATAAACATTAGTTTAAATTGAATTCTACGCTCTCTTTATTTTTCTTTCTATCAGTATACAAAAATTCTATAATTACTTGAAAATGGATTTTTGTGCTCGAGGGTTCGTGCTCTAGTCCCTCTTGGAAAATAGGAAAGTGAATGAATTGAAACCATAGCATGGTATTGTAATAGGTTCATAGATGTAGATTTAAGGGTTAATATCATAAAAATCCCTAAACTGATACACCTGTTATAAATTTACTTCAAATTAATTTTTTAATCATAAAAAACCCCAAACTGGTACACCTGTGACAGATTTATCCTAAATTATTTTTCGACTACCAAAAATCCCAAACTGATATATTTGTGACAAATTTTCCCTCCGTTAAATTGGATTAATATCACGAAAAATCACAAAATGGTACATGTGTGACAAACAGAGGGTAAAACCCCAAACCAATACATCCGTCATATGTCACGTGTCATCCAATTCAAAAATTCGACAGTAAAATTTAACGAAAACTAACATAGGGTAAAATTATCACATGTGTATTAATTTGATGTTTTTTATACTAAAAAAATTAATTTTGGATAAATTTATCATAAATATATCATTTTAAAATTTTTCGTAATATTAACCTTAGATTTAACACAGCAAGTCAAAATTTAAGTTGATCTCAAAAGTCAGAACAAGCCCAAGTCTTGAGGAATGTCATTATTCTTTTACAATGCCCTATCTAATGATTACTCAAGAGCGATATTCATCCAATAACTGATGTGATGCCTTGAATTCATTATCTATTTTCTCCCTCTTATAAACTATTACCAGCTGACCCGACCGGAGACCCATCATGTCATCTCTTTCACATTGATGGGCCTCGAGTCAAAATTTGATGGGCTACTAGTCGGGCATCCCAATCCAGGGGAGTTCATTCAACAGGTCATCAGAAGCACTTCCCAAATGCAGAACTTTGTTGGCTATAGTCATGGAACAAACATTTCACATACGCAAGTGATTGGTGAATCTATAAAATTGTCATGTCGAGAGCAGGAGTTAAGTAGTTGTCCGGATCGGATAATAGCTGAATCTCGTACTTTCTTGACAATTTGCGCGTCGATGGCCCGGACACTGAATGGGTCAAGTCTGAGAAAATCAAAATCGAACATCATTTAGTGGGTTCGACACTTCATACGGGTTTAAGTTAGATGAAGCGAAATATACAAAGAAAGAAGAATTGAAATGAAATCACGACTTCGCGTATAGTTGTCCAATTACATACATACAGTGGGGAAAAGAAACGAAAATTGTATGAAGTTTGTTTTGTAGTTAGCTTGTGTTGAGGAGGTCTGCTCCGAGGTCCACGAGCCCTGAGAAAGGGTTAGCATCTCGCAATAGTAACACTGTAAACGAGATGAAGTAGAGGGGGCATGAGAGGAGGAGCGTTCAATTATAGTGGATCCAGATGTCACATAGCAGGTAAAGAGTGTCGAATATTGATTGTGGAGAGTTTTCCAGAGGTTCGCTATTGAAATCCCCCAAAGTTTGGAGAACCAAGGTGAGTACAAATGCTGAAGCCCAAATTTTCCAAAGAACAGAAGAGCCAATGGCCAAAAAGTCCCTAAATGAGTCAATCAACGGGGTACTTATAGTGAGGGAAGCAAGATAATTGGCTAATAGGATCATGACATATGACAATTCTAGTGTAGGGATTTCAGGGTAGACAGGTTGCAACGTGTTAAAAGGAAACAGGCCAATCATAGGTTGTCATGTGTCGAGAGGACATAGGCTAACACCAAGCCCATTAGATAGGGTAATGGGATAAGCCGAGTCATCACTAATGAGTCCCATTCCAAGTTCACCAAGGCAAAACTTTCTAAAACACAGCAGGAGAATAATTCAGGAACTTGCCGACTATCCTAAGTCATTCTTGCATGGAACAATGCTCGCATCAAGTTAGCCTGCAATAAATACCTGACAAGGGTATTCTTTCGTTAATTTAGGAAATTATATTAGAAGACAATATAGTTACTTTTCATAAATACGAAATGACAAAATTTTGGATCTACATTTTGCCTCCCGCATAACAAAATCTTTATGACATGCAAAATTGAGTGTCATGCATAGAGAGGGATCGTGCCTGTGCAAAAAATATTCATGTAACAATGATTAGTGTAGATCTTTTCATCCAAAAAGATTAGGTAGAACAACCCCGAGCGCGGCGATGTGTGTCGCACTTGCACTTGGAGCGCAGCATCGGCCCCTTGAAGCTGAGTGCGTCGCCCCTAGCTCTTGCGCACTGCCCCGTGCACGGCTAGGTCGTGCATGCCGCTTAGCGCACCGGTGCTTGCGCTCGACTCCTAGCGTGCAGCGCTTGCCGCTTTGCTCTAAGCACACTGCCCCTGGCGCTTGTCACTGCCCTCCGCGCGACCGGAGCCACACATCTTTCGGAGTAATAAGTAAAGTTTGCCCAGAGAAAACTTTTCTGTCTTGTCTGTAACTTTCGAAGTAATGAGTTTGCGATTCCATGGCGTGCGAGAGGGTTCCGAGGAGGCATCCGTGACGTATCATGGTGATGCCTTGAAGGAGAAAAATTCGCTTGCTCATAGGAAAATTGTTATGCCCCTCGTACCCGATGCAGCCATTTGAAAAGCAACATCTTCTACTTTCCCGAGGGAGGCAAGCATCATCTTCTCGTTCCCAAAGAAAGGCTTGAAGATAGAAAGGCTATCCCAGGGAGTTCAGCTCTGCGCTACGAGGTGAAGAGGGGGACTTCTACTTTCTCACGCTAGTTTTGGATGTCCCAGCCGCACTAAGAGTTAATATGCAACAAATGTGACGAGCGTGTCAAGATCTTGGGTGTGGGAAGAATTGCGTACCAGCCATGTATGTGCTGAACGGAGGTGGGTACAAAGAAGATGCATCAAAGAACGGTGCCGTCGTGGATGACACATGCACACTCGCTGCACTGGTGATGGGGGATGCGGCCGCAGCGGCTGCAGCAGCTATGAGGTCAAGAGGCTGAACTAGTCCACCACCACCACCAGAGGAGTTGTCTTCCGTAGCTACATTGGTGTAGGTGGGGTGATCGGGCCCATGATCGTATAGAATCCCTCGGAAGACATGACCTCCGATATTGACAGCCGTCTGATACGCGAACTGCTCATCGGGGTCGTCAACGGAGCTCACTTTCACACACTGGAAGACCGCCGGAGAGCTCACATCGGCTGGGAAGTTGCCGACTAGCTCCAACCCTAGAGACCGGGACAAAGATAGGATCAATGGTGCAGTCAACACATACATATGACACGAAATACATAAATACATCTTTATCGTAGGTGGAAAAAGTCGCGAGCTTTGTTTTGACAGAAGGACAACTTCCTGCTTCTGCAACGGAATTTTCCTAGAAAATCTTTTGCCACAGATATGAAAAATGGCATGACAAAAAATACACGCATAGACTTGGGACAAACATCTAAATCAACACAGACACTCACCCAAAGAGAGAGAGAGAGAGAGAGAGAAATTACCTTTCTGTCAAACCAATCGTCAGGAAAACTAAATAACAGCAAGTTGGGAAAGAGGAACAGATAGGCAAAAAATGGGAAAAAACCAAGAAAAGAGGACGATGGGGTGGGGTTTTCAGACTTCTCACGGAGGTCGATCACCGCACACGCAAAGGATACGATCCTAGCTCGTTGGGTACTAAAAGTAATAACATTAACTAGAAAGGAATGTTCTTTATCTGAACTCAAGCCCACCAAATCTATCTCTGACTCTCTATATCTCTCTCTTTCTGCAGAGAGCGATCCTGGAAGCCGAAACAGTTGACTAACTCTCTTGCCCAGAACCACACAAGGACAAGCAAACACACACGAAACACGCGTATACATATAAAACTATACATAAATACCTGATGCGTTAGGCCTCCCATGATTCTCCCTCGGCAGTTTCAAGGCCTCGCCTCGGAGCTGCGGCCTCTGCTCCTGCCGGTGGTGGTGCTCCTTCAGGGCGGCGAGCTGCTGCAGCCGCTCCCGTCGCTTTGCCGCGGGGACCCACGTGCTCTTCACGTGGTTCGCGCACTCAAACCCGCGGCTCTTGCAGCACGTCCGGCAGCGCTGGTGCGGGCAGTCCTTCTTGGCCTGGTTGCCGCAGTCCTGGCAGCAGATCCCCCCTCTCACCCCGCCGCCCGTCGTCGCCGCCAAGGTCAACGTCGTGAAGCCTCCTCCCAATCTCGAGCTCTCGTCGGAGAACACGTTGATCGAGGCCCTACCGCTGCCGCCTTCGCCTCCGCCTCCGCCGGGCCCCACCTCGAGGCCCGTGGCCGACGCGTAGAGATCCTGCTGCTGCTGCTGCTGCGAGAAGAAGTGCAGCTGTTGTTGGGGTTGCGGTTGGTTATGATGCCATAGCTCCAAACCCTTGAAAGCCGAAGGCGTCCCACTGTCGTCCGCGCTGCTTCTCGAGTACCAGAACCAAGGAATTTCGGCGGCGGCCGTGGCCTGTGGGTGGTGGATCTGCTGATCTCCTCCTCCACCTTCTCCTCCTCCTGCTGATCTAGCAGCTCCTCCTAATGGAATGAGCCCAGCCATCTCGCGATGATTGACCGGGCAAATCTCGATTCCGACTGGCAATTCAAATCATATCAGAGCACAGGATCCGCCTATCTTGCTTCTTCCTCCTCAAGAAGTTGGAAACCCTAGAAGATGGAGAATTCAAGAACAGCTCAGATGGTTGTTGTGTGTGTGTGTGTGTGAGTGAGGTTTAATGGATTATAATGTTAAGTGGGAGTTGGGTGTGTGTGATTGCTGATGGGTTTTTCTGTGAGACTCACATTGGACGATTCTGTGGCAGAGCCTTCAATTCACTTCACCTCTCTCTCTCTCTCTCTCTCTCTCTCTCTCTCTCTACTCTTTGCATTAAAGGGCCATGGAATTTACAGCTCTGTCTCGCTCTGCAACGCCGCCATGGTTCGTCCCTCCCTCTCTCTCTCTCTCTCTCTCTCTCCTCACGGTATCTGCAATCTTCTGCTACCTCCATTTAAGTCTCGACATATCCATCAAACACACGCGCACCCTCTCTCTCTCTCGCTCCCTCTCTCTCTCTTCTCTGTGTCTTCTGGTTTTGTTGCAGTAGATTGAGCTTTTTGGGGTGAGAGTGAGCAAGTTTGAGAGAGCCAAAATCTCTCTCTCTCTCTCTCTCTCTCTCTCTCGCTCTCGCGTTGGCTATGGATTTCATGTTCCTATTTCCCAACGAAGATTTCAGACGACAGTCTCATTCCAATCCGACGGATGGCTTAGCGCCACGTGTCGATGCACCAGCTTTTTTGCTTCTTCCCACCGGAAAACCCGCTACTAGTTTTTTGGTGACCCCTACACAAAAAAGGAAGAAAAATCCTCCGACACTGCTTGTCTTTTCACCTCCTTCGCCAAAATGATTTGTTATAAATTCATATTTTTGTCGACAATTTGTGAGTAAAAATGTCTTTAAGACAATTATGCAATGATACGATCAATAATATAATTTTTAAATTTTAAATTTTCAAGGCACTTATTCTTTATCGTGGGGTATGTGATTAATAATACTTTGGAGATCAGGCAATTTCTTATTAAATATGATTAACAAGTAATCTTGGACATTTGTTAATATGCTCCTTTTACGGAATGAGTTTAATTTATTCATCTAATTTTAGCATCTATAACTAGCCAAAAAAAATATAAGCATTCATAGGTGTTAATTTATTTTCTTTACGAATCTTGTGTTTTAAGACAAGCATCCGATACTTTTTAAGAAGTTGTTCCACTCGAGTTCATGATATTGCACAATTAAAACATGTTAGTGTATATGAAGTTATAAACATCCATTGACAATTGCAGGGTCTCGTTACATAGTACTTATACAAAGAAAAATCAAGTGTTAGGAGTTCATGAGAAGCTCTCTTTTCTCTAATGACATCAGCTGCTTCAGCTCACCATATGCTTGCAAATCAAAGACAAAGGATTTTTCGTCATTGGGTTATATCAATAGTATCAGTTTCTTGATGTTTTCCTAGGAAGATGTAGAGGGAGGGATGTTCCTACGTTGCTGCTAGAATTCTCTTTCCTTTCTCAATGAAAATGAAACCATCTTTTTCCTTCGAATTCATGCTTTGTGCGTGTATGTCTTTTTAAATTTCGAATAGGGTTTCTGCTTTTGATGCATATTTAAATGATGAGGCAGAGAGAGAGAGAGACAGATATGCGCGGCGAAAAGGAGGCGCATTTATATGTATTGTGGTCAGAGAGGGAGACATAGCGCCAACTTCTCCCCCCCTTTTCTTGTCTTTCCTCTCCTTTTGTTGTCGCTCGGGGTTTAGAAAATCGAATGATGTCTCACTTACAAAATCTGAGGAGACCATGTGTGACAGTGTTGAACTTGACAGCATAAAAGGGTCTTTAGGGTTTGAGTTTATTTATACGTGGTTTGACCAACTTTTTGAGATATTAGCCAACTAGGTTATATTCATTAATCGCTTCATTTCCCATATCAACCATCTGATGTGGGGTGGATTTCATGCGTCACCAATAGTGCTACATATGCATCTTAACAATTAACGAGGTTTGGAATAGTTTAGAAGGGGGTAATATCGTGTTGCATATAATCCAAAAGTAACCAAAGTGTCCTTATTGTTTTAGGGATTTACCTTAGAATCTATACCCAACCATTCTCTCTCTCTCTCTCCCACTACCACACTCAGCATCTAGCATCTTGCCTCCGTTACCACTCAAACCCCACAATTGTTGAATCATCTCTATTACTCTATGCATCTCTCTCTCTCTCTCTCTCTCTAGCATCGATGCCTTACAAAATAAGTTGATTCAAGAAATCCTAAATAAGGTTAGGCTACCACTGATGGCCACCTCAAGCACCCTTTGTCTTCAGAGAGAGAGAGAGAGAGTTGGGAAGGCGTGGCAACAAGAGAGGTTGTATCATATGACTTAATTTGAGACCGGTCGAGTGGAGGCGATGGTGAGGAAACTTATAGGATATTTAAATATCAAATCATACTTTCGTCTAATAGCTTAATTTTTAGAAAAGTTGGCAGTTATTTCACAAAATCTCACACGATATCAGCAAAAGGTCTTAAGTTCAAATTTTTTCAGGCCCCATTTGCCTCCCCAATCATATATTTCTACGCTTAGTACTAGTAAAAAAGACAAGACTATGCGTGAGGATGAGTGATAGAATATTTAAATATTAAATTACATATTCATCTAACAGTTTAAAACTTTCAGAGCAGTTGACAGTAAACTCACCAAATTTCACAGAAGCAACAAAGGAGGTGCATGTGTGTTGCTGTAGTGGGTTTCTATCTCATTAAGGAAGCGTAACAGAGGAAACAAAAAAAGGGGAAAATGGAGATTACATTTACGCCGTCGAAAATGCACACGTGATGACATGCAACATCTGAAGCCCTAAGCCCAATCCGAGCACTCAATACCTAGATCGGTTAATAACTCAACTATTTGAGCTTTTAAAGTGGAGGTAAGTTCCATTAGATATGTTTGAATTTGTGGGTTCAAATATAAATGTCCTTATGGTGATGTCTCCCGAGGAAGTATTGAGATTCGACTGCTCTTATAGAACAAGACCATACAAGTGCAACAACTGAGTCATTAAAAAACATATAAGAAATATTTTTAAAATTTTTATTTGTCAAATGAACTTTGATTTGGCATGACATATTCGTCTTGTATGATCAAGTGCCGCAATATTTCCTAAACGGATTGCTCATTGATAATATATAATATGGCGATATTTTTCCGATAAAGCAGAGATTATATTTTCATAGGCTTCTTTCTCCTAGATATTTGAGTGATACATTCTTTTAGTGCACTTCAAGGACACGTGGTCTCGATGAGGAAAAGGGGACTTCCTTATTACCTCATTCTTCGCGATTATGTTAAGTTAAGCTCTTGTAATTAAGCCAAAATTAAAGAAAAGATGAGAGTAAAAACAAAGCAACAAATGAATCAAGCTCTTGTTTTGCCATTGAAATCACAATAATATCAATCACCATCAGTTTGGTAATAATGGTCTCCGCAGTGCAATTGTTAGGCAGTTCTCCTATCAACTTTTCTATGTAAAGTTCTTTTAATAGTTAAGATCACAGGATTGGAGATCTGATATCTAAAAGCCTATGAAACATCCACTTGAGTTCAGATATTTGATTTGTGCAGATAGCCTTGACCCGCTAGGTTGCACTATTGGTGGGATTCGCACGAACAGGCTCCCATTCTTGAGTTGGAAATCTCCTAGCACCTCAACCAACCCTGCCAATTCATGGGTCTTTTCTGCAAAAAAATTCCTACTTATTTATACATATAGCATTCGATCTAAGAGGGAGATGACTAAATAATTAACAACATAATAATCCAATTCTGTGGCGTAGTAGCAACTATATCATAGTTCTGGAAAAGCTACCATTTAATTATTCTTTTTCTTTTTCTCCTTGAGAATAGCCAAATTAGGATGAACCATCCTCCTGCTATTTATCGTCTTTTATACATAAGATTGCTAATTTTCGCTACTTATATTTTTCTTAGAATTATTTTCCCTTTCGTCTTTCCTAAACACCGCTATCTAAATTTATTGAATTATACATAAACACGATAATTATCCTAAACAACATATTTAATATCACGTATAACTTTCTCCTATTTGATTTTTCCCAACAATTGTAAAATATTACTTAAATGAAGATATTATTGGTGGCACACAAACATGCTTGGGTACAGCACTTCTAATAACAATATAAAACAAATCCAAAGCAACTTCAATCTCAAATTTTGATAGGAATCTCTCTCTATATATGTGTGTCGGTTGTGTATGATGATAACCGTAAACTATTAAATGTGGGTAATATAATAATTGAAGAGGGTAAACACAACAATTTTCTATCCCATAAAATAAAATACTTCTAGAGTATAATTTACATAAAATTATCATTATCCTCTGAAAATCGATATTCGTCTAATAAAAATGATGCAGACCAGCTCACATCTTTCTCTTTGAAGGGGTCTTATTTGCCAAATGAGATAGGCAAGTCGAGTATTTGCCACATCTTTCTCTTAAATTTGAATCAACTCTTAAAAATAGCTTGTAGGGCGTTTTATAGGCCTCCAGGTAATCAAATTCCTGTGCTTGTGCTCCTGAATTATCAAAAAATAAAACAAAATAATAGATTAGAAGAGCCAAACATGTGCTCTAATATATGTTGCAAGATCAACTTCTTCGCACACTTTGTATTAAGTAGCTAGCATGCTAAATACTCTCTCATTTTTCGTTTTTCTTTTTTCTTCGCTTTTCCTTCTTCTTCCACGCTCAATTCAAGCTCTTATCACGACCAACATTATATTTATTGCGCACCAGCATAGACGCGATTCACAAGCATTCTGATCTTATGTCAAATAGCCTTTTAATATGGACAACTCTTTAACTCTCAAATTTTTCTTCTTAATTTTAAAGATTTTAAAAAATTTTCTCGAGCACGAGATAGAGGAAACTATCACGAGAATGCACTAACAAGGGGGATGTAGCCATTAGCTAGAAATCGAAGGAAAACGGTGCGTAGGACGACGGACCACCCTACACATGTATAGTTCTGCTAGATCCTAAAAAAGAAAAAGAAAACAGAAAAGTTCAAAGTCACGAATTGGAGCTATTAGCCATTCGATGATTCTCAAATTTGCATGCAAGCCTTCAGCCACCAAAAAAAGGGTGCATGGAATGGTCCTTCATGGAGGTGCAACTATAAATCATCTCTTGTCCGTGCTTTCAAATGCAAGCTGTAATACAAGAGGACGTCGATGTTTTAGAGTCAACCCGTAAGTGTTATCACACATTTTTCTCACAAAGAACTTATTCAAGAAACTCACATAGAGAAAACCCTAACACTTCTCTTGTTTGCTCTTGTGTATCTCTTGTATTTATGCACCGAAATAGAAAACTCATTTTAGGAAATCAACTCAAACTGGCAAACCTGTTCATATTAAAAAACTTACTTGGGTTGATTTCCTTTACGTACTCA